TACATATACAATACTTGCTACGCGTATTATTATCACATATAACTACATGTACACAATCAATGTAAGTATTATTACGCGGTGACGATTCTGTAAAATGCTATGTGGAGCAATCTTTCCCTTGATTACACGTACATTTTATATAATGTTAATTGACATATAGATAAGTTTATTCAAGTGCAGATTTCGCGTAGGTGCATCGTGAAAAGATGCATTTTCTGTCTGAAGAAAGCAATAAATTTTAGAACGGCGGTTCCTCTTTGACGTCGCTTTCGTGTACCAGACGGTGATACGTTAACAATTAATTTTAATATAACCACCGAAGTCGTTTTATGATTATTTTAGTTCATATCGATAGCACCTTAAAGTTGCGCTTTAAATTATTTCTGCTAAGTGAAAATAACCAGTATTTACAATAAACTTTTTTATTAGCGAGTCGTGATAATTATGACGTCACATGCAGAGAGTATCCTGTACATTCAACGATATCTGGCAAAAAGTGCTAGGAGACTTGTTAGAAGTAATAGGAGAGAATTAAAAAAACGATCGTGCAAAGGACTAATCTAGAACAATTTCATCGTTCGTTTTCCTGGATGCAATTTTAGGCACAAAGGACACATTAATAGTATTTTACAATATTTAGGAGAGTTTTATATATATAAATGACAAAACCTTGTATGCCAATCCACACTTGGCCGTACTTGGTTATGCAATTTGTTGTCAAACTACGCAACTCTCGTTTATATTCGTTCAGATAGATGTAATTCCCAGTACTGTACGTTTATATTTCCGCTGAATGCTAAAATAAATTATTATTTTTTATGCTGTATAAAATTTTTTCTTCCATTTGCCAGCCCTGCGGTAAATTCGTCGTCGCTCGTAATATCAAAAGTTTATTTTTGCCAATTCTTGTTATTCTTTCAGTATGTAATATTTACTCTGTGCGTTTGTTTTTAAAACTACACATATTTCGAACAAATCTGTTCGTATCTAATCAAATGCGTGTCCTTTGTATCGCAAGTACCGCGCTTGAAATTAGCACCAAGTGTGTCTTTCCCCGCTAAAACCTGCATTTTACTCAGAAATCTGCCTCGGTGCAATACGCTAAAAATAATCCTTGATGACTAAGGTGACAATTTCTGGCAATTATACACCTCTTGACTCTCGCGAGTTATATAAGCGCGCCCTCTTAACGGCAGCTCGCGACTAATCGGTTAATGACACGCGATGAACTTAATCTCAGCGCAAATGTAGAGAGACATCGCGCGATTTCTGCTCCACCTCTATTAATTCCAGTCATCGATTTCCACTCAGATCAAAATAAGGACACCCGTCTCACGACAAGTAATTACGGGCCGAATTTGGATCGGTGTGACGGACTACGCACGGATAGGCTCCGAAAGAACGTACATGGTACGTTTCCTTATCCGAATTTAGCGCAACGCGATGTTACGAGAACTCTCTGCGATATCGAGGCCACGTTGGATAAAAATAAAGAGCCTGTTACGAGCAACCGAGCGACGCGTGAACCAGTTCGACGCGGTCACCGCGTCGCGAATCGGCGTCGAGCACACTCGATCGTAAAAGGATACCGGCCAATTTTTTATTCATGACGCCTGACATCGCGCGACGCGCGTTCCTCCTGAAATATTCCTCAACTCACGAGCGATTCACTTCACGAAGGCATTCGGTTACGCACACACCTGGAGGGATGCGCGTGTTCAGTTAAATATTCGTCGTCATCCTATGTAAAATACGAAACGTAGCTCGCGAATCGTGGAAGGTACACGTTTCCTAAGGAGCATTATGGATCTGGGGATATTATGCTAATCCGGAACTTCGGCGAGAGCGAAACTTGCTTACCAGAATTGCGTCACACCACGCAATGTAAATTTCGAAAGTTTAAATATATTTTTAACTCGCGAGAGAGCACGAAAGTTTCGCGGCGATTTCTGTCGCGACATTCAATTTTGTGATAGCTGCAGCCACTGGTTTTGATGCGCGTAAAAAAAAAGACACGAAGAGTGAACCGAATTGACAAAGCCATGCAGCATAATCCCGCACACTCGTGATGCGTGATGCATCTACCTATATTTCGTCGGCCCTGCCTACGATCGATCGTAAACAAATTTCTCTCGGGGCATTGATCCATCCTTGAGATGCATCGATCGCAGCTGTTGGCCGACATCATCGTCTTCATCGACCCGCGTTTGGCAGCAAATGTGTATATAGGGTGTCTCGAAATAATGGACATTTCTTTTGCCTAGACATTCTCGTACATTTTTTACTCCAATTAAATTTAATTCAAAATTATATAGAGAATAAAGTTTCTCCATTCGCATTGCAAAAATTCGCTTCTTTACGATAACCCGTCGCTTTTCAATCATTGGCGATTTATTTGAATAATCAGAGTTCATAAATAACAGAAAAGGCGAGCGCACTGGAGACATCTAACATTCTCACGGCAATGTTATCAAGGATAGAATTTAAGCTTTGAGTAAATATAGTTTCTAAACTCGTGCATTTAAAATTAATCTTACACCTACTTACGCCTTTAAACAACGCGTGTTTACGTTAGCCCACTGATTCATAGGTAAACAAGCGCAGAAATTATTCAATTTACTTTTGATTAGCAGAACTAAAATTGTTTACGATATATACACCCAAATATCATGCTTGATGACACGAAGACACTTAATCTTCGCAAAATAATGAAGTACGCGAGATATCACATTTAAAAAATTATCTTCAAGAGCTCAAGCCCGTATCATACTACATATTGAGGAGCGCGGATCGCACGTCAGCCAATCAGACGAGACAGCCTCGCATCCGATTGGTTGAATTGCGATATGCGACCCGCAATACGGAGTGTGAAGGCCAGTGTCCACGATGCTAGAACTTGGTCCAAGTTCTATTGTAGTTCCAAGCTATCCCATAAAAGCTGCAAGTTGATTGGCTTCACATTTCTCGAAACTAGAACTTGGACCAGTATCGTGGACACAGGCCTTGACACGGGCTTTACACTCTTGTGCGCGCGAATCCGCGCACGCACGCGAGGAAGCTGTTAAATAACCATTTGATAGATCCTTCGCAAAGTCACACTTCCCGTTACGTCTCCTCCGCGATGGCTTTAATTCCCTTTGTATGCCGGATTAGGTGCTGTGCGTTCACCAGTCCCGATGCGAAACGAAACGAACCGAACGCGACTCGGTTCGCCTGCTTCGCCCACGCACGCTGAACGCGCTCGTGCAAGCACCTGTGCGCGAGCGATGAGAACAACACGGGCGAGTCGCCGCTGATATTCGTGACACGTCCCACGTGCCGGAATTCCTGCACCCTACCCGATGGGTCCCGCGGGATTTATTTTCGGATCGGTATGACGCCACCGGGCGCGTTTACAGTAGTGCCGCGCCGCACAGCCCCGGATTCGCTTCTTACGCTGCGTCGATCCCTCAGTGAGGTCCGCGGTTGTCCGCCGTTCAAGTACGATCGCGCGACGACCAATCGATATACCATACCGATCGACCGATCGAAAACGCCCGTCGCCGAACACGAGGCAGAAGCGCGACGCCCTGTAATCGATCGCGCGATTTCCAGGCGAACAAACGAACCCGACGAGCGAGCTGCGCAAAATGGTACTCGCGCGCAATTAAAAACGCGCTCGTTTAAAAGTATTTTCTCTGCTCTCGAGTCCTCCACGCTCGATGGTCCTCGAAAGTGCACACGTGTGTTTCTAACACTGGAACGGTTGTGGAAAATTGGATCTACGATTTTCACGGCGATTCGCGACGTGCTGTCGATTGACTGGCGTTTGACCGCTGCGATGCGCTTCGCATCAGTGCGTGTGACATTTTATTATTGAGGGAAGAAAAACGAAGTCGCAACCACCGCTATTATCAACGAGAAAATTTTAGAATTTGCCCGGGAATTACGCATCTTAGCCCGCGCGCGTACGTCGCCAAGACACATTTAACGTCGCCCGCCGCGAAACAGATGCATATAAACGCACCGTCGTACGCCCGCACGTGTGGTATCGTTTCGCGAGTGCAGCGGCCCATCTGCTTTCGCAAATTACGAGCGGTGTGCCGGAGGATGGATCTTCCGCGAATCGGCTCGCGACGTGAGACGTGACGCGAAGCGTGTGTGCGCATACATCCTCCTTTCCCTCTCGCTCTCTTTCTCTCCTTCTCTTCCTCCTCCTCCTCCTCCACTATCATCTCGGTAACTGCGAAGAAAGAAAGTCGGCTCGAGTCTCGGGTCTCCACCGCTGCGAATTTGACAGGCTGCCAAATCCGCGAGGTCGCGTTACGTAACGCCATGTAACGCGCGCGAACTTGGACTACGCGCCCGCGAAAGCGAACGAACCCGCCGTCTTGCGATCATCGTCGATCATGTGATCGCGCAGCGAACTCAACGAGCCCGAGTGCCCACAGTGCGCATAACTACCTATATACCGTATGCGCGCGGCTGCTATTCGCGACCGCACGGAAAACGGGACTGCAGTTTTAACTTGGACCTTATATCGCTAAGCGAACGACGGCTGAACGACGGCGACTTTAAATCACGAGGCGCAGAAGTCGCCTGGAGTTGCCTGGATGCGAACAACGATCGTGCGCCTGGAAGGATCTTCCGTGATCACGAAGTGACGCTAGAATTTTATTTATCATTAACGTTACCACTTGCGATATACACGAGACTAATTCTCAAAGTGTAATTACATAATGACGCGGTATTTCGTATTTACCCATCAATAAAATGATTGTTTTCTAAATCGCTTCGTCGTGAGAATAAAAATTCATCGGTCGAACGACATTTCAACGAGAGGAGACAACGTCGGTCTTTCTCGAGCCCCCATAAAACTCATCGAGGCGAGGCGGGGGCCCGTTAAGAAGTCCAGAGACGACGAACCCGTTCGAAACGAGAAATTAATCGGGACGATCAGCGGGCGAGCGAGCGAGCAGTTTTTCCGGCAGATTATTCGAGCGAGAACGAGCGAACCGGAGAGAAGAACCGAGACCATGAAGAACGCCCATCCGATCGTCAGCGCGACGACTTCCAGTCCGGTCGGTCCAGATTCCACGGATCTCGGCGAGCCGGCGGAGCCGATCATCCGGCTGAAGCTACAGAAACCGCTGCACTGGGAGTGGGAACTGACGACGTCCGCCGACGCGCTGCCCGTCATCCAGCTGTTGGACAAGAATGGCCGGTTACTGGTGGAGACCACCGGCCGAACGGCGCAGCGGGCGAAAGGCTCCTTCAAGGAGGGCCTGAGGACTCACGAACAATTCCCCGTCGACGAGTCCAGGGCTAGCTCGAGGAGCAAGGACCAAACCTCCTCTTCGTCGACGCCGTCCACCGCGTTCGTCGTGACGCCGTTTCAGAGTAATCGCAACATCGACGGCTTCAGCAGCAAATTCGGCACGTGCAACTTCGCGCCGCGAAAGTCTCGCAGCGATGTTAATATTAAGGAGGGACGGGGCAAAAAGAGACACTCGTCGACAGTGGAAGATCCGACGATGAAGGCGAAGCTGGAAAAAAGCATCGAAGAGGCGGCGACGGGACACAAGAGGTACTCCGCCGGAGATTATCTCCGACAGCAAATCATGAACGATCTACGTACACGTAGTACATTCGGGAGAACTCCGGATGAGGTCGCCAAGGACCGATGCCGAAAGGTCAAAGCGTACCTGAGGAGTCAGAGCGAGAGTCTGCTGAGCCTGGTCCGCGAGGAAGAATACAGCGGAAACGAAGCGAAGGACACTAACGGACCGAATGAGAAGAGTCTCCAAGATCGTAATGTGAAGAGGAACAATACGGGCAATTCTGCAGAAAAGAATTCGAATGGAGAAAACAGAAAAGTAAGATCATATTTGCGAGCCCGAAGCGCCTTAATCCCGACGAAGGACTCGGAGAGTCTCGAACCAAGCGAAGAGGATAGAGTCATTGGCAAGATAAAGGATGACATGAATGAGGAGGAGCTGGCGAGAATCAGAGCGTTCCTACGTGAAAAGATACAGAGGCGAATGAATATGGAACAGGCATGTTCGAAATTGGCCGTCCGCGCCAACGTTCCGGAAACCGTCGAAAAAGCTGGCATCAGGAAAAGATACTCGGACTACAGTCACGAGGAGAATCAGAGGAACTACAGGACGCGAAAGGTGCGCAGCGAGACGAGTATTTTGCGATTCAATCCCGAGGTGATCGAGAGAGAGAAGCTAAAGGCCAACAAACAATTGGAGAAGGAGAGATCGATAAACTGTAAAGGCTCCTCGGAGGACTCTCAGCTTCAAAGACAGTCGCGGAACTATCGGCGCTCGAGGAGCGAAGCCTTGGTCCAAGCTTCGGAACCGGATAATCGATCGAAATTGCAGCTAAAGAGAGAGTCGTCGAGTCTGGATAGGAGGAAGGTCTACCGAAAAACCAAGAGCGACGTTTTGCTCGGGCAAATGACGACGGTGGCAGCTAACGTAGACAGCGCCGGGGACCTCGCAAATCCCCTGAGACATATAAAGAGCCAAGAGAATGTGGACAAGTCCTGGCGGGAGTACAAAGAGCGAAAAAGAAGCGAGAGACTCCGTCGGGAATCAGAAAGAGAAGTGCCCGAGGAGGACTTCATGAGCAAACCGAGGTGGAAGGACCTGCAACGCGATCTCTGCTTCTCGCGCGACTGCAAGGTCTGCCAAAACTCAAGAAACTGCGTGGACCCGCTTCGCGATCGTGACGAGCAAACTCGTCAGGAGAACGAAGAGCCGTTGATGAGGAAAGGGGCCGTCGCGAAAGTTTCCGAAGACGAGACTTCGTCGACGAACGGCAGCAGACCTGGCACCAGCTTGCAGGAAAATTACTTGCTCGTCGGGCAGAAGAACGAGAGCGGCCGCCAATCGCCGACCATCGCCAAAATTCAAGTGAAAAATCGCGGCAACGACATTGGCACTGCGTCCGCGTTAAATGTCAATTCCCCGGACTTCGGGTACAACTCGATTCCTTCGAGGAGCGCCTTCAAGGACTACCGGGAGTTGTACGCACGCTCGAATGTGAAGAAGAGCGACACCTTCAAAATTGTCGACGGAAGCGAGGATCTGGAGGAACGCGCGAACGACTCGAAGATAAGCGGTGTCGACGGTTCCGATAGCGATTTCGGCTATCTGAACGGCAAGATTTCGCTAGCGAACAAATCGAACGAGGATATCACTAAGGATTACTTCAGAAGAGTTTACGAACTGCTGAAAAGGCGGCAAGAAGAGACGACAAAATCGACGAATGGAGGCCACGAGTTTCCGGGCCACGATGACTTTTCGACCTCGAATTGTGTCGAGGAAACGCAAAAAAAGAGGAATCGCCGCAGGAAAAAAGACAAAAGCCCGCAAGGTAAGACATCCTACGTGAAATTCTAATATCTAATACTCTCAAAAGAATTGATATCGATTGTCACAATTTTATACTTATTAATCATCACCTAATGGTACTGATCGATTGTACTGAATATTTGAATAATTATATCAATGTAAATGTAATAAATTATTCATATAACATACATAACATGATTATTGCATAATTCACACTGACAATTTTCGATAATCGTTATGTACTAATTGGTTTTTGCATTTTATGTTAAAATCTAATTTTTATTCTCATATGATTTCTCAAGTTCTGATGATATATTATATATCCAGATGCAAGAAATCTCGTAATATAAATATTTTAATTTAGAAATTTAAAAAGAGTGAAGATATACAGAACTCACAGAGAAAAGCCTCAGATAAATGCAACTTGGAAAATACTGAAACTCGGACAAAACAGTAATTACTAGATGCCTGAGAACTTTAATTTACGTTGCCTACAATATACATAACCATCTCTCCACAGAATGGTACGTCCGATATCGCCCTGGTGCCTTTTGCTGATGCGAAAAGTTCCATCGTGAAAGTATGCCCACCTTTATTGTATCTGCTCGTATTTACAAGACGCCCCTTGTATTTCATTGTATTTCAAAAATATTTAATATTCAAGCATCAAACTTTTCGCATCTTATCAGACAAATTGCACGTTACACCGCATCATTCAACAATAACTTTTAATAATGCTTATCCTTCGTGCAAAAAAAATGTAAAAATGTGTACCATATTATTTCGTGACGTGAAATAAACTTCTCGCGAACATAAACATTTCATAACAATAAAAAATTAATATTTTTTTGGTTCCCATCTGATTTGACAGAACATCTAGACGTTTGTCAGGCTTGTGGCAGTTTAATTTCCCCCCTTTTCACGAAGTGATTCCGCGCGGTGGAAAACTCTGTTTTCGCTTTCGGTGCATTTTCTTATGATTTCCAACCGTTCGCCTCTGGTCTTCCAATATCCGTTCTGTCGACCCTTCAAACTTTGAAGAGATCTCCACTTTTCTCGCATAGCCTCTCGCAGGATAATTAAATTTATCTGGATAGCAAAGTAATGATCTTAGGATAAAAGTGCGAAAAATGTTAAAAGAACAAAATCCTTCATATTATAATTATATAATTCATAAATTCACCCATATCTGTTACCATGGAAAATATTGAGCTGAATTTTAGCGAAAAAAACGTTGGAAATATCTTCGGAACAGTGTACCTCAATAATGTCACTCTATTACCAAAAACAAGTTCTAAGTTTTTAATAATTTAAATTTCAAAGCTTTTTTATACGTCCAATACGAGACTTGCCAACCGTTAACCTTTCACTTTTATAAATTATAAAGCACAACTTCCATTTCTGTCGAATCGAAATCCAACCTCGACAGAAAAATACTGGGCAAACCTCTGAGAGCCCCCGGAAACTCCTCTAGAGCATTGTCAATTCTCAGAAGCCTTACGTAAACTTCGAGACTTTCGGCTTAAAGGCTCGGCGAGCCCTTCCCCTTAGGGTTTGCGAAAATCACGAAGAAATCCCTCGCTCTGACCCGCTCACCTCTTTCGCGAGGTTACCCTGTTATTACAACGAAAAAATAAGACGTGGGTGTGATCTTTTGACCTACAGGCCGCTTTGAATTTCAATCTAAATACGGCGCAATCGCTCCGCCAGCCACGTTCTCCCACGAGATAAATATTTCAATTTACGCTCGCCTACAAGAGATGCAATTTATTATCTTTTATTGGAAGATTGTTACGCGAAGTTCTCACACAATTATTCCTTCATCGCGATTCTCCGCCCACCGCGGTCGTTTGATAATCCTCAGTGCATCAATTACGCTGCCGTGATAACGTCGAAAACCTCACAAGGTAAAAAGAGAGTGTGAAAATAAAATTGTACTAAAAATTGCAAATTCGCTTTTCCCAATATCTTTCGTTGAATTTCGGACTAAAGAATATACGATTAAAATCAGAAATTCTGACATAGCATGGCATAATTACTGCATATAATTCGCTTCGCTAATTAACATATTTAAAGAGAACGAGAGAGTTATCATGTAATATTAATTAATGACAATTATGTACGTTTGTACTGCTGGATAGTTCAACAAATTCAATATGTTAATAAGCCAATAATATTCTGGAATGCGGTTGATAAATTGCGTGACTAATTGAATAACCCTTTCCTCCTCCCCCCCCCCCTTACTCTCTTGCTCTTTCTCTCAGGGAAATTGTTACGGATAGAGATTCCGATATGTTAATTAAATAATCACAGCAACCTCCGGGCATTTGCATACATAAATAAAGAAAGAAACATAAATGCGCAACGTCCGGTGATCGCTAATTCAAGATAGAATTCCCGGTCTTCCTTCCGGCCGCATGACGTCATAGGGCAGCCTAGAGCTACTAGATAAAGGGGAGCTGACTCGTCCGCCATCTTGGAGCCCAAACGTTTGACTTCGACAAATGCATTTTGGCACAAGATATGAATTTCTTGTTCTAAATTTATTGTTAATAAAATCCAAATTACGTTTTTGTTTTTGGAAAGCTATATTTTTAATTAATTATTAAAGTTATATTATTAATT